GGAGCGCCGGCTGGGGGTGGGCGCGGTGCGAGCTGTTGAAGGGCCCGTGCGTTTAAAGGAGAAGTGCACGTGGGTCTTGGAGGCCTGAGGCAGAGGCATGTTCTTTCCTTCCACCTGGGATGGGTCCATTCGGCCTGCAGCTCCAGGCCCTGGGCCTGCTTTTCCGGGTCTGGGGGCGGGAGGGAGGAGAAGGGGTCTTCCAGCATGCGTGAAGGTCCCTGGCCTAGAGCCTGCTTCTGTTACCAGAGGTGTTTGACTGTTTATCAGGCATTTACAACGGTGAGGAGGCACCCAGAATCAAGATTTTGAAGCCGAAGGAACCTGAAACAGAAGCCAGTTCCTATCCCGAATTTTACTGATGAAGAAATTGAGCCCACGGAGCTAAAGTGATTTTGCCCAAGGTCGCCCAGGTAGGATAAGGCAGAGCCAGGCTTAGACCCCAGTGTCTTGGCCTCTAGTTCTGCCGTCCATCCCTCTGAACAGACCTTAACCCTTAGCTAGATAAGATGTCCCTATCTATTGCCTTAATAAGTATTCCCTTTGAAAGGTATGAACTGTTGATTGGTGAAGTAACTGCATCCCCTTTTGCAGATGGAAAACCTGTTAGCATCCCATAGAGATGGTTGCAGACCAATTTAACTCAAAATTGACAGCCTGAGTTACCATGGCTGCCTGCAGAGTAACTTGATCAGGACAGACCACAGCTTTTCGGAGGCCCGTGGTGTCTATATAGTCCATCTGGTAGACACCTGAGCCTCCAAGGCCTTTAGCCAGGACCTTTGGTGGTAATTAAAGGCTCTGGATAAGCTGTTTCAGGTGTGTGAGCCTCAGGTTCACCACTGTGTAGGAGTGGTGACTGGCCCAGCTGGTAAAGGGGCTGGGCGTCCTGGCTCCAGCTCCGAGCTGCATCCTCAGCCTCCCATTAAGTAGGCAGGCCTTCCAGGATAGGCCTTGGGTTCCAGGGCAGGGGGCTAAAGTGAGGGCTTGGGGGAATATTGCTTTGGAGTGGGATGGATGTTGTATCAACAACCGTCTCAGGGAAAGCAGTACCCTTTGGTGTTGAAGTGCCCCTGTGCCCAGTCTCGAGTTTGTCATGGTTCTTAAGTGGGAAAGGAGTGCCCTGTTGCTGTCTATTTGAAAAAGCGAGGGAGGGGGTGGGGGGGAGACATGAGCAGGGGCCTGGCCAGAGGCTACTGCTCTGTGTGCCTGGAGACATGGTTCACATTGTCATGCCTGGCACTCTACCCACAGCCCTCCCCTGCTGCAGATGATTTGCCAAATGAGACTGTCACCTACCTTGGCCTTACTCTAAGTTACTGATGTTAATAATGATGTAACATTTCTACTTTATGAGTTGATCTACAATAACAAGCTGTTTTGTATAGTAGTTATCATAGTTATCTTAAGAATTTCAGTGACACTGAAGTAGTTATTCTTACCCTTTTACAGAGGGGCCGAAACCGAGGTTCAGAGAATTAACCAGCTAATCGCAGTATGTGCCCTCAGTGCCCTTGAGCACCAGGGTTTAAACATAGTGGGCTCCGTTGTCTTTATCTTTTGAGTGTTTGCACAGGTTTCCCACTTCCATCCCTACCCCTGCCTCTGCACTACTGCCCAGAGAGTTTCTGTGGGGCCCCTATTAGCAACTTCCTGATAAACAACAAAAAACTTTTACAACAGAAAAATTGCTTTAGCAGTGTGTGTAGGTCACATGCATGTTTCTCACACAAACACCTTTGGCTGTTTTTCAGCTGTTGCTTTGACTTCTGGACACTGTATAGTTGGGACTGACAAGACAGCAAATGTCTCTGCAAGCATTCCCACCTGTTCCTGGGCTGCCCCAGCTGGGGGAAGGGCTGTTAGGGCTACGAGGCAGGCTCCCCAGGAGAAGCCCTCTCCTCGCCTTGGGATGGCGGGATCTGCCAGGCTCCAAGCCTGGAGATTGCTTGACCACCATGTTAATGTCTGGGGAAAAGAATGATTTCAGATCAGTCCTCAGGAAAGACCAAATGCTAGTGAGGAAGATAGATTTTTTTTTTTTTGGTAGCATCTTCATTAACTGGGAGAATGTTCATCTTTCCAGGGACAGGGGAAGAAAAATTTAAAGGGTGCCCACCTTTCTGCTCTGCCTTAAACAGAAACTTCCTGACTTTTTTGTTTTTTTAAGACCGAATCTCACTCTTGTTACCCAGGCTGGAGTGCAATGGGCTCCTGGGCTCAATCAGTCCTTCTGCTCAGTCTCCCAAGTAGCTGGGACTACAGGCACACACCACCACACCTGGCTAATTTTTGAATTTTTTGTAGAGATGAGGTTGCCCAGACTGGTCTTGGACTGCTATGCTCAAACGATTCTTCTGCCTCAACCTCCCAAAGTGTTGGGATTACGGGCATGAGCCACTACGCCTTCTTTATTTTTTAAATAAGAGTAATACATGTTTATTCTAGAAAATTCAGGAAATTATTTTTTAAAAAGTAACCCATTAGCCCTCAGCTGAGAGATAACCACTCTTAGCATGCATTTCCTTCCAGTGCTGTACTATATACACACACATGTTTATCTATTATAACAGTAGGAGTAGGAAACTGTAGATGAAGTTTTTGTATCCTGTTTGTTCTGTGAGTGTTATGTTTTCAGAATTTTCCCTTCGTTGGGTATTCTTGGAAAACCGGATTCTAAGGGTGTGTAGAGCATTCAAATGTGCCGTTGTTTATCCTTCCAGTCCCACAGCAGGACACTTTCCCACCCTCCCTTTTGACCCAGAGAAGCAGTGCCCTGTCTTCTCCCTGCACCCACATGTGGGCCTTTTCCCCCTGAGCCACACACCCCCAGACAAGTAGCAGAGGGAGAGCAGAGTGGGGCCTGGGGGCGGAGGTTGTGGGTAGGGAGCAGGAGAGAGATTTTATGGGGAGTTTTTAAGGTGTCAGGTTATCTGGTAAGTGAGTGATTAGGGGGCATTTCTGGACATGTACATGCCCATGGCAAAGGCATGTGACTTGGGAATATGAGTGTGTTCCCCAAAGGCCCACATGGTGTATGTGGTGAGGCTGCCTGTATAACCACCGAGCATGTGACCCTCACAAGTGCTGAATGGGCAGGGAAGAGCTTCTTGATGGGCAGTTGGGAGACCTGAGTTGTAACTGTGCTTTTGACCATGAGACTTTAACTAATTCCATCTGTCTCTCTGGACTTCAGTTTCTTTAATTATAAAATAGGGAGCTGACTAGGTGGCCTTTAAGGTCCTCACTGGCTTGACAAACTTTGACAAAGCGTTCACATGGTTAGAGTGCCCTGTGCTGGGACTGGATGGAAACAGGATCGCTCCCTGGGGCCTCGCCTTTGAAGCTGGCTCCTGTGTCGGTGGTTCAGCAGATCTGTGACTTCCGGAGAGGCACGTCGACAGGCTTCTGTGTCCCCTCTCATTTTGTCCCTCCTTTGTTTCGTCTTCGTCATAACTACCATTTGTTGAACACCTACTATGTGCCAGACATTTTACACGTTATCTCTCGATTTCACGATAATTTTGCAAGGTGTGCCTGTTCTGCTTTTTACAGAAGAGAAAACGGGCTCTGTCAGAATAAACTGCCCACAGCCATGCAGCCAGGGAGTATGTGGTTCAAATCACACAGGTAGGTGATTCGAACCCTGTCAGTCTCCAAAGCCTCTGCTTTTGACTGTTGGATTGCTGCTTGTTAAAAATAAAAATTACTCGGCCCTACTTGAGGGCAGCGTGCCAGGAACTCCCTCTGCCACTTCGCCTCAAACCATCCTTTTCCTAGGCTACTTCCGGAAATGAGAGAAGTGTGCCTGGGCCCCAGGCCCTTGTGAGTGAGAGAAGTCCAGTGAAAGTAAATCTAGACCCTGGGCCAAGGTTCAGGAGGCCCAGGAGAATGAGGTGGTATTTCCAGGCCTCCCTTGGCTGTGTGCATCACCATGTGGGCTGAGGCGGATGGACAGATGGATGGTCAGGTGGGACCAAGTACATAGATGCCTGGGGCTGGGGGGAGAGAGGTGGGCAGAGAAGCCATGGGATTTTCTTGGGATGTCATCTGACCTTAGCAAACCCTGCCTTGTTTAAGGGAAGACTGTGGGACTTCCCAGGAGTCATGAGAGCACTGGGAGGTAGCTGTATGACCGTAGAAAGTGACCTGTTTAAAACCAACGCCACCCTCTGTGAAAGCCAGGGAGCATTGTTCATTTAGCCAGCTGGGAGAAAGAAACCAGGTGTCCTGGATCCAAACCTTTTTCTGTGGCGCCAAGTGTTTGTGGTAAGTGCAGTAACTCCCAACATGCTTTTGGACCATCTTTTTCCATGAGGGTTTTCCTTATAGAGGCAGATTTCCATGAGGGTCTGCTATGGCATTTCAAAATCTATTTCCTACCTACTTCTGTTGACCTTAAATGTTAAGGCCAAAGCCTTTACATTTCTCTAAAATGAAAAGAAGGTCAAGGAAATTGGGTCACTGGGTTTCCATAATAATTGTAAGAACTGCTGACACAAGCACAGTTGGGGAAATTCTTTAGGTCAGACTCCCTTGGTTTGGCTAATTCAGCATTTTGATCCCATTCAGCTGATTAATGGCAATGTGCAGTGGCTTCTTCAGATGTTTGATTTTGCATCCTAATCCAAAGCAGCCATCAGCCACAGTGCTTCCTTCTGGGAAGGGTTTCCAGAATGCAGTCTGTGTACTAGACACCCCTTCCACCCTTCTGCGTTTTCTTACCACTTCTGCAGAGAATGGGGAGCAGGGGGTGGGAGATGGGGAGAGCTGGTTGCTGCATTGCTGATGGGATCTGACATCAGCGGTAAGAGAATCACCCAGCCCCACCCCCACTTGCCCGTGAGTCAGTGAGTCAGCCTCCAGCGGGAGTTGTTTGCGTCACTGGCACCCTGATGTGGACAAACATCCAGCAAGGTTGTTTATCTGCACACATTTGGGTGGTGATTTTTTTTTTCCCTCTAAGGATTTCAGAGCACCAGCAGGCTTCAGGATCGACTTGGGTGCCTTGCAAAACAAGCTCTTAGGAATTCAAAAGGGAAGGAAGCAAAAGTATATCCCAGCTGCTCTGTTTTTCTTCAGGAGCCAGGTAAATCAGAGGGGCTGAGGGACAAATGCAAAAGTGGCTTCACTGAGTGCCATCTGTTCTCCTGGACCAATGAGAGGGGATTCGGGAGGGGGCAGGAGTAGAAGAAAATCTGTCTAAATGTTGATGCTCGTTATTTCCCTTTAAAAAATCAGTAGCCTAAAAAAAGAAACTATAGATGCAGTGTATTTTTTATTATAGCAACTTAGAGAAATGCAGAGAAAATAAAAAGTCACCCCCAGTCCCACCATCCAAACATAATCACCTTTAATGTCTTTAGTATTTCTTGCCGGTCCTTTATGTGCACACATTTTATAAGGAAATTCAGATTAGGTTTGTAAGGTTCTATGTTCTGTTAAATTGAGAATCATGTAGCTTTCATATTATTAAATATTCTTTGAAATAAGATTTTTAGTGGCCCAGCATATGACTGTATCATTGTATAGAGTACGGCATTTCACTTTTTTTTTCACAGTATATACTTTTAATTAAAAAAATTTTTTTAAATAGAGACAGAGTTTCCCTATGTTGCTCAGGCTGGTCTTGAACTCCTGGACTCAAGTGATCCTCCTGTCTTGGCCTCCCAAATTGCTGGGATTACAGGTGTGAGCCACCATACCTGATTTTTTTTTTTTTTTTACCAGTCATACATAACAGCAACACACATGTTTTTGTGTAAATATTTTATTATTTTCTTAGGAGAAATTCTGAGAAGTAGCATTTCAGGATCAAAAGGTATTGAGACAGGGAGTCCCCTCCTCCCAAACCTAATAAAATGAGGGCCTTCACATGATAGAGAAAAGGTCCTCCTAGTACAACAAGATAAAAGCCTTCCCAGAATAGGGAGAGTCCTTCTAACACCATAAGATAAGAGCTTTCTTGGAAGATTTATGTTAGAAAGGAATGTAACCCCCAATCTGTAGTGCGCATGTGTAACTCCGCTGCAACCTTGAGCTGTGAAATACCCAATTAGCTTGTATGTTACTAATATATAAGTCTTATGGGGGGACAAAGAAGCTAAAAATGTATAAAAAGCAATGCCCCCCTGTCCTTGGGGCTCAGCCTTTGGATGTGAATCTGCTGAGCCAATGTTGGCATGAAAAAACACTGCTTCCTGGCAAAGTAGCCTCAATGTCCCGTCTCTCTCTGTAAAATCCTGCCACAGTGTGACTGTTTTTAAAGCTTTTGTTTTAACCATAAGGCCAGTTCATTTTGTCCCAGTGGTGTCCGAGACCCAGTTTTTCCACACCCTCCTCCACAGCAGGCATTATTTCGGGACTTTTTCAGACTGATAGCTCTCTTCTCCCACTTGGAACTTTGTAAATCTGAGAATCTTCCAGTGCTCTTGCTCCCCAGTTGCTCTCTGACCAGATACATTGTCTTTAGGAGATAGGGCTGGTCATTCTCTCTCTCCCTCATTCAGCAATCAGGTGGTGCCATGCTGTAGGGAGGTAGGTGGGTGAGGGACACTTGCTTTACTGAGCAGGGGGCCTAGCCTGACCATGTGATGACAAAGCAGAGGCAGCCAGCCAGCAAAAGTCCTAATAGAGGTTAATCACCTAGGGACCATCTCAAAACGCAGATCCTGGACACTTGGTGAGGTTGAAGCTCAGAGATCTACATTTTGAATAAGCCACGTGGCATAGTTTTAGAGAGCACAGAAATAGACTACCTAGGTCCAAGGATAGCCTTGACCCAATCACTTTTTAAGACGTTGTTTCCTCATCTGTAAACTGCAGAAGGATAGCAACACCTAGCTTCTAGGGTTGTTGTGTTTAGTGCCTTGGCTCAGCAGGTGGTGTCCACTACCTCCTGCTCAGTGGCCTGGGCCACTTTTGAGGAATAGTGATCCTAATCCTAAATCGGTGCCTTCTACCTGTCACCCTGCACCAGGCTAGGAAGGTTGTGATTAAATGGTGTGACCTCCAAGAAAGACGGGCCCTTCCTTCCCTGCTTTCTTGGAGTCTTGGCCCTCATTGTTGTAGGCATACCTTCAGGGGAACTTTCAAGGAATTTTTTAAAGTGGGATAAGGGAAGGGGTCTGCTCAAGGAGGGTCTTGTTTTCTGGCACAAAGGCCATATATTTGAATTACACTTCGTGGGTTAAAAAGCATATTTTGTAGTTTTCTGACGTCTCTGCCTTAAGGGTTGTCAGGTCTTGATGAGACCAGGCCCAGGCACAGGCAAGTGGTTAGCAAGTGTGGATGATGATGACAGTGGTCATCAGGCGCTTTCTCCATCTTTCTAGTGCAGTGTCTAATGCAGTTGTCCTTCCTGAAGCCCACTCTCCCCAGTACCTCTGCCCACCGAAATGCTTTCCAGGGGATGCTTTGTTAGCTGTTGGCAACTGAGTGGAGAAATAGAAATTGGAAGGACTTCATCCTACTTGATCTTGGGTCCCTGCTTCCCTGTCCTCACCCTCCCATCGACTCCTTTTCTCCCTTACTTCCTGCTTATTCTTTTTTCTCATACATTGTTATTTGGCAGTCTGGCAATGAGGCACCCTCAGAACACGGCAGCTGTTGTGGATCTGAAGGGTGAACCTGCCCTTTTGTCCTTGAGGACTGTAGCCTGTGATGTGTTAGGTACAGGCATTCCCAGATCTGCCCCTCCAGTCACTGTGAAGATAAATCACAGGTGCTCCAGAGGCATGGGAAAAATAGGAAGATTAATTCACAACCCAGACAAAACAACACTGACATGTTAGAAACAGTATTAGAAGAGCCACCCATTGTCTCCTATCCATCTAAGGCACTGCTCTGGATGAAATGTTATAATTTAGCTTCAGAAAGTGCAACCAGCTCTTTGTTTGGGTGCCCCTCTTTGAGTAAAGGTGATTCACCATTGCCAGAGTGGGTGGTGAGGGGAACTCATGGGTCCAGACAGGTGCTTACTTAGGATTTATCTAGTGAGGCTGAGCCCTCAGAGGAGGACCTTAAAGTTTTTTCCCCTGAACCTACTCAGTAGTTCTCTCATTTCATAGGTGATGGAAGTACAGCTTAGTATACCCCAAAGTCTCGCAGTGCATTGGGTCTGTGAAGCTGTATCTGCTCACATTGGTCTCTGTTGTATAGACTCTGCTGGTTCCCAGGACTGGCCCCCGAGTAGTTCTGTTCCCCTGTGTCCAGGGAGACTCTGAGTGAAGAGGGAGGAACGCCTGCATCCACCTAGGGGGCCTCTTTGGGCTGTCTTGCAGATCTTGTAAAGTTCACTTCTGTTCACGTCCTCCTCCTGTTTGGAAACCTTCCCTAGCTACCCTCTGCTGAATTAAGCTCCTGCTTCTGGTTCAGGCATCCAGACCCCTTCCTGGCTGGTCCACCCTTCCAGATCCCCACACTTCAGTACATCCAGCAGCTTGGTATTGTCAAGATAGGCCATGTTTTTTCCCATCTCCTACGTTTACTGTGGTGGTTATCTCTTTCCAGAATGACCCACCTCCTTCAATGTCTACCTGGCAAAGAATTCCTAACTTTTGAGGCCCATTGCTTGTCCCTCTTATTCCCTGAGACCTGAGATATCTATTCCTGACAGCCACAGCCTCTCCCCTCCTAACTCCTGCATGCATTGTCTTTGTCACCTCCCTCCTGGCTCTTATCTTATTTGCTTCCTGCTGCTGTTTTTCTTGACTCGCCTTATCTGTCCTAAACAGAAGGTTCTTGATGATGATGATGATATTTAGGCTCTGTCGCCTAAGATGGAGGCCTAGGATGGAGCGCATGTCGCTATCATAGCTCACTGTTACCTCGAACTCCCAGGCTCAAGTGATCCTCCCACCTTAGCCCCCAGGTAGCTGGGATTATAAACATGTGCCACCATTTTTTGTAGAGATAGGGTCTTGCTATGTTGCCCAGGCTGGTCTAGAACTCCTGGCAAGTGATCCTCCCACTTCAGCCACCCAAAGCACTGGGATTACAGATGTGAGCTACCATGCCCAGCCCTAAACAAAAGTCTCTTGAGGCTGAGGGCTTATTCATCTTGAAATCTCTGTGAGATTGAAGGGGAACTGTTTGTAGGAAGCCCAGTCAGGGAGATGAGCAGAGGTGGGCTCTTCTGTGTTTCTGTAATTGGAAGATGGAGTTAAAGTCCGTATGGGAATAATCCAGGCCACATCCAGAGTCACTCTCTTCAGAAAGGGTAGCAGCCACAGGTCCTGCTATGGAGAATGAAACTGGCCAACTTGGTAGAAGGAGCCCGCCTGCTTAGCTGCTTGGTTTGAAAATCACATAATTCCAGGGGTCACTTACTTGGAATCGAACTTCCAGCAGAGAGCAGACCTGAGCCCCTGGGGTCTCTAGGAGGTTATTGATAGCTCAGCTGCTGTCCCTGTCCAGGATATTGATAGATATAGTCAAATCCACCATGGATTGTCTGAAGGTCCCCTGACCCTAAAACCTGTATATGTGGATTTGGGGCTACACCAGGTTCTATGTGGTCCTGCTCTGTAGAAACCCAACTTTGGACCATCTTAGGTGGCAGGTGCCCCTCGTTTTGGTCTGTTTGGCAATGGTCTTTCTTTGGGTCCTGACTTCAGTGGCACTTCCCTACCCCGCATGCCCGCTCATGCTGCAGGTAGTCTACCTGCTCCCATAGTTTTGGCCCCCACTCATTAGACCTGGGTACTCAGAAGCATCCCAGCCAACTTTCCCCTTGTTAAGCCATAAACACTCAGTGGGTTCCTGGGCCAAATGCTTGGTCTTTCCCCTGAAACTTTCTTCTCCCATCCTCCTTGTCTCAGTCCCCACCTGACTGTCATCCTAGACTCTCTCCTTATTTTGTCTCCACATCGGGTCCTGTTGTTTACTTCCTGATCCTTCCTGAACTCTGTCCCCTCACTCGCATCCATCCTGCTGTGACCTTAGGCCCTTGCACCTCTCACAGTAGTCTCCAGCGAGTCACCTTCTCTTTTTGGTCAGTGGCCAGACTGACATTTACAAAAACAGATCTGATCTTGCCGGTCACAATTGTCCTCAGGATGATGTAAGCCTCCTTCACGTGGTGCCGGAGACCTTTTGTACCTCCCAGCCTTGCCCAGCCCCGCCCCAGCAGGGTGGGGCCCTCTGTCCTTCCCTCCCACCTGGGAAAACCTGTCTTCTCTCAAAAACATTCCTGATCTCTGAGATTGGGTCCCCTTTTTGTGTTTCTGCACCTCCTGTTGAACACATGGATTGTATCATGGGTCGTATTGGATGGGTTTTGTTTTAGACAGGGATGTTTCTTACTCATCTTTGTATCCCCAGAGCCCAGCACGATCTTTGGCACACAACAGATGTTTGCTGAATGAATGAATGAGCGCGCTGGCAGTTCGGAGTGGTCCTGGCTTTTCTGGTCGGGCATGTTGCCCCCTGTGGCGTGAGTCTCCTCAGGCCAGTTCTGCACAAGGCCTCTGCAGCCTCAGTGATGGCTCTCAAGCCTCTTGCTGTACAGCAGTTGTTTGACATGCATGTCTTGGAAGTTTGCTGTGGGGCAGGACCCCTGCCTGGGTCTTGAAGCCACCCCCTTCCACCCTCCTGCCTTTGTCTAACAAGAAAGTGGAACGAAGTCCCTGTACTTCTTCTTCCAGGTACCTCCTGAGGCAGGGCCATGCTCACATTCATGGCCTCTGACAGTGAGGAAGAAGCATGCGATGAGCGGACGTCCCTGATGTCGGCCGAGAGCCCCACACCACGCTCCTGCCAGGAGGGCAGACAGGGTGCTGAGGATGGAGAGAATGCTGCCCAGTGGGTAGGTCCCATGGGCACTTGGAGGCTTGAAATAGAGCCTTGGGGTTCCTGCACTATATGGATAAAAACCAGACATTCCCCGCTGTGGGAAGGGGGAAGGAAAGGTGAGAATGGCTGAAAGATGGATGGTCTGCTGTGTCAGATCTTAACATCCACAAGGGCCTTATAATAGACACTGCACGTTCACAGCTGAAAATTGACTTGACAGTGGGCTGAGTGATACTGTCCACCTTATTCCCTTAGGCTTACCTTTCTAATGCAAGTTACTGTTTCCACAGTAATGGGAGAGTTATTTTGGAGGCTGGATGCTAGGACAGGTAGCCCAGATGCTCAGGATGGTAGGAGGGAAACATTTTTTGGGCAGATGGCCAGGCATGGTAGCCATGAGATGAGTCTGCCTAATTCACATTTGACTTTTGAGCTGCACATGAGTGGACTGCACTGTGAACATACCTCTGCAGTCCCCAGAGCAGGGGATTCTCACATTAGGAAAAGTGGGATATCCTTGGAAGAGTCACTTCATTTTGCCCTCTCTCTTCCCATGAGGGCAAACCAGCATATGAATTCACCTGAATCCCATTCTCTGTTTTGTCCATTGTAAAATTTAAAGCCTTTCCATGTGGACTATTTTCTTTTAGCCAGCCTTAAAACCCCTTGCTGAAATTTGAGCTCATTTCTCCATGTTCTCTATGAGAACAGAGCTGTCGTCCTCTGAACTCAAGTATGATCTCACCAGCTCAAGGCCATGCTTAGCTGTTTCTTGCTAGTTTCTTCCTTTATCTCCAGGACTTTTTTTGTGCATTTTAGTTGTTTCAGTTCCTGTTTATGAACAGTTTTTGTTGTTGTTGTTTTGTTTTCCTGAGCTGAGTGTCTGGATTGGAACTCTCTCTGTAAAGAATCCTGAAGCAACTGTCATTTTTGGGTTTTGTTTCACTTGGTTTTTTCTTTGGCTGTTAACTTCCTTAACAAGGTGGCCAGTGGCCCTGGATTGCCGCCATTTCAAAACTCAGATTCTCACAGACCGGTTTGTACCAATGTCTGGTCTTCCCTTGCTACCTCCTCAATCATTCCCTCCCACCTTCCTGGAGCCTGCATCTTCCCAGATGCTTGGTGCCTGTTTAGCCTCTCTAATTCAGAGCTGAAATTTTAAATGCTTGATTTTGTGGAGCAGAAAGTTCAAAAATAATTGCTTCCTCTGCAAATTCCTCGTGTCTTATTCACACTCAAAGCACATCCCCCTGTGTGCTGACTGTTCTAGTCAATGATTTGTCAGCCAAAAATGTTTAATCTTAGTTTTCCTGCTATCACCTGGCCTATCTCCTACTTGGTCTGTGTGGCCATGCGAACAGAATTGAGTGGCAACCCAAGTCCCTGTGCTTAGGAAGGGGAAAGATCTTTTGACGTGTTCCAAATTCATTAGCCATGGAATCATGGGCCTGCAGACTGTCCTCTTCTGTGACTGTGGCAGCCTCTCTTCCTTTATTTATGGTGGTTAGTCCAACTGTAAATCTTTTCTACTGTTGTCCTCATAAACTTTCCATGTGTCCTAAAAATTCCAATAGTCTAAACTAAACTACAACTCATAGACTGCTTCTTATATCTGGAAAGCAGTATTCAAATTTCCCATTTCTGGTGCCAAAACTCCCTGCACTACATGGGAAGGCCACCATAGGGGGCATTTCATGGCCCTCATGCTGTGGTTTCCCACAGAGAAGCCAGGATAGCGAGGAGGATGGCGAGGAGGACCCTGACCATGTCTGCAGTGGGGTTCCCGGGCGGCCACCGGGCCTGGAGGAAGAGCTGACCCTCAAGTACGGGGCAAAGCACGTGATCATGCTGTTTGTGCCTGTCACTCTGTGCATGATCGTGGTGGTGGCCACTATCAAGTCCGTGCGCTTCTACACAGAGAAGAATGGACAGCTGTGAGTTGGGGACCTGGGTGGCACGGGCCAGGGTGGGACTGGGTTGGGTGTGACATCGTCTCTTGGCCACTACACCTGCAGCTGCATGTCAGTGGCAGTAAGGAGCAGGGACGAAGAACTGCTCAGGTTCAGAGTCTGGTCTTCCTCCTGGCTTGTTACTTACCTAGGCACATGCCTACCTCCTGATGACCCAATTTCCTTGTCCATGTCATGGGTTTAGTAATGGGGTTACTAGGATTAAGTGAGTTAGTACAAGTAAAAGGTTTAGAACAGTGCCTGCCATGGGCGAGTGCTGGATCTTATACAGAAAGCGGGCTCTCGCCACACAGTGTGGAGCTCAGTGTTCCCAATACCAAGTTGTGGGCACAGCTGTGCCACTGATCACCACATGACCGTGAGTAAACCACTTCCTCTCTGAGTCTCTGTTCCCTTCAGTGTAAAACAAGGTGGCTAAACCAGATGATTTTTCAGCACACATCCAGTCTTGTGAGGAAGATCACAAGTCCCTCTGTTTATTTTAGTATAATTCATGCAGGAGCAGCAGCAAAGAATGAGATGCCCTCCGCCCCCGCATCTTCCTCCACTCCCCTGGAGTCATCACTGCTGAGCACTGTCTCTAAACATCTTTTTTTTAGTTAGGGACTTTTGTTGCATTGTGTGTGTGTGTGTGTGTGTGTATTTGCTTTAGAAAGGAGAGAAGCCCCTGTGCTCAGGAAGCTTAGAACCTGCTAGAGATTCAGAACGGTACAGGTGAACGCATTGAGAGGACCTAGTCAGCATTTGCTGGGGTGGTCCTAGCTGGGAAGAGTGAGGTATGGGTCTGTTGCTTCCTGTTCTGCTTCTTGAGTGGATGGCCTGCAGGGGCAGCAGCTGTGCTCACAGTATGGGGTCTGGGAAAGCAGCAGGTGCAGGAATGCTAGGCTGGCTGGGGCTGTTGGGGAAATGGGGTGGGCAGAGGGAAGCGCCTGGGGGAATGAGGAGGGCACTGGTGAGGGCATCCAGCCCATGTCCTCACTGCTACATTGGACCCAGCCGTCATGCCGAGAGCCACAGGTGTGTGGTCAGGTGCTCAGGAACAGGCTGGAAGACAGAGGCTGCTCAGGGGGATGGTGCCGCACACTACCAGGGCAGTGTGTGTCTGTCTCCCCAGATGGGTCCAAAGATCACTTCAGGTGGGGGGGTGTCATGGAACAGGCAGAATCAAGAGCGTCGGCCCTTTGCCTTCTCCCTCAGCATCTACACACCATTCACCGAGGACACACCATCAGTGGGCCAGCGCCTCCTCAACTCCGTGCTGAACACTCTCATCATGATCAGTGTCATTGTGGTCATGACCATCTTCCTGGTGGTGCTCTACAAGTACCGCTGCTACAAGGTGAGGCCCACATGCCTTCCACCCACCTCCTAACCCTCCTCCTGTCTGCCCTGTACCGTGGCCCATTATGCAGCCACCTTCCTAAGAAGCCACTGCTAGGGTTACTATTTTTCTGCAAAATAGGCTCTAATTTTGGATACTGTTTCCCACTTCACTCCCATCCCCCACTGTGGATGACCTGATACTGTTGTCTTTTAAACCTAAGCATAATCCCACTTGAGTTCCTCATTGCGATGTTCCAGGCGTCACTTCTTATATTTAGAAGTTAAGTTTATTTTGCTTCTCTTTCTGAAGTTCTATTTTAGGCTCTCCTCACCCCAATACTTCCCTTCCAGATTTATTTTTATTTTTCCATTTTCCTTTAGAGTAGGGACATAAACTGAGATCTTCTAACCCCAGGAGTCATTTAGGTTGGACCGCCTGTAGCTGTCTAGTGGCCTCAGGGAGTCATAGAAGGGCAGATCCCACCTGGCCCAAATCATGGGCACTATCTGTCTCCAAAGATACCGTTCACTTTTAGACATTGGTTTCAGGCTTTTCTCCGTGGAAGAAGAGGAAGGCTTTGAATCCTGAAGACCGAAAGAAAGTTAAGCTAGGCATTGTCTATTTTAAAACTGTTAGGTCGGATACAGTGGCTCATGCCTGTAACCTCAGCATTTTGGGAGGCTGAGGCAGGAGGATTGCTTGAGCCCAGGAGTTTAAGACCAACCTAGGTAACATAGCAAGATCTTGTCTCTACAAAAAAAAAAAAAAAGCCGGGCAGGGTAGAGTGTGCCTCTAGAGGCTGAGGCAGAAGGATCGCCTGAGCCCAAGAGGTCAAGGCTGCAGTGAGCTGTGATTTGTGCCATTGCACTCCAGCCTGAGTAACAAGGTGAGACCCTAACTTAAAAAAAAAAAACTGTTCTCATACAGCATAGCACAACATTTTTTGTTGAGGTTGTTGAGGCAGCTACCATTCATGGAGCAGGTAGATAGAGATGTAGAGTGCCCAGGCTGGAGGGATAAGGGGGGGGGTACAGTGAGGTGCCCCACCCTAGCTGGGGATGATGGTGCAGGAGAGCCATGGGAGGAGTTGCAAGACATCTCTTGAGCTGTGGCGTATCAATAAGTGGCAGTTACCTGTGTAAGGAGGTGGAGCTTTGACACTGCTGTGGGGAGGGTGGCTGGAAGCCGGATAGAGGGGTACTGCTTGGAGCAGAGGATGCAGCATGTATGAGACAAGTTACATTTAGCATGGTGAGTGTGGCAGCCAGTCCTGGAGACCGCGGAAAGGTGCTTGGCCATCCATTCAGTAAAGATTACTTGGACGTTCCAAGACACTCAGACAGGAAATGACGGTGGCCTAGACAGGCAGTGGTGGCTGGCTGAAGAGGCAGCTGCTTCCCATTTGGGCTGTGCCTGCAGCATGGCCTTGGCAGCAGCTTTCACTCCAAGTAGACCAGGTCCCTGCTTGGGTCCCAGTGGGCTGAGCCAGTGACTGATGGGTCAGTCTGTGGGGGTGAGGCTGGTAGGAAATGATGTCACTGTACCACTGATGCCTAAGGGACTGGCTTAGGATGAGCCCTACTCTTGTCCTTCACCCTCCCATGCTTGGCCAGGAAAGGAGGAACAGCCTTTCTGGAGACCTGCTTATAGACCCTTGGGTGGGAGGGGACTTCTTGGGTCATCTCTATTGAAAACCCCCGAAGAGGCCTGTCCTGACCACTGTGCCTAAAGTAGCACCCCGTGAGTCCTTGCCACTGGATGCTGCCAACATGTTTTTCTCCATAGCCCTCATCACTGCCTGCTAATATACTGCATATTTGTTTGTCTATGTGTTGGCTAACACCCTTCCCACTGGAATGCAATGCCCTTGGGCAAAGACTTAGTGGCCTTCTCTCTAAGGCACGTAGGAGACACTCAGCGTATCCTTTCCAAGTGAACACATAGAGAGATGGGAGAGTACAAAGCTGTATTGCCAGCCTTGAAGGAGGTTCATCTCCTCCATGCACTACAGGGTGCCCTGGAGAAAACTCTTGAATTTCTGTGCCCTCCTTACCTATAAGATGACACCTGATATCTTCCACCGCAGTTATGGTGTAGCCTAAGAAAGACTTTCAGTTTTGGGTATCAGTCCCAGAAACCTGGAGCCCTTTTGATTTGGGGAGTGTGGGGACGCCTTTGATCCTTCTGTTTCTGTTGTCTAGTTCATCCACGGCTGGTTGATCATGTCATCCCTGATGTTGCTATTCCTCTTCACCTATATCTACCTCGGGTAAGCGGCACCTGTATCTGCCCCAGGGGTCCGTCTCCCTGTGGGCAGGGAAAGGGGCTGTTGAGCTCCAGCCCTCCCCAGTGTCAGCTGTTCCAGGAACCCATGCCTCTAGGCCTTTCCCACGGGCCTCGGCAGGGGAGTGGGGCTCACATGTGTCCCTCTGGTTCCTGATTTAGAGCAAACAAAGCTGTCATGGGAGAGGCTCACTGAATCCTAAGGGGGTGGTGAAAGCATCTCAACATTTACATTCCAACTTTTGGGCTAGGCCTGGTACTTCCTAGTTTATGGGAAAATTTACCTGTTCGATTGCCTCTTGATTTGGGATATCCACCTGACCCAGGGACCCAAAGAGACTGGAGAGACAGAGGAAACCACTTTTCCGAGGACATTTTCCACATGCAAAGGGTCTTCCAGGTCGTGCTGAAGCACGTCTCTGTGACCCATCCCAGGCATGAGCTGTTGATTTACTCCACACGTTGTTCTGGAAAGTCTTTTGAATGGGTCATTGTAGGGCAGTGGAAGTAGAGGAAGGGGATATTCGTAAATAAGGCCAGGTCGGGACTGAATAGTGTTAAACTGTGTCAGAGTGTGATGTCTCCACTGAGTCTCACCCTTGAGCTCCACCTTGGTCCTACAGGGAAGTGCTCAAGACCTACAACGTGGCCATGGACTACCCTACCCTCTTCCTGACCGTCTGGAACTTCGGGGCGGTGGGCATGGTGTGCATCCATTGGAAGGGCCCCCTAGTTCTGCAGCAGGCCTACCTCATCATGATTAGTGCACTCATGGCCTTGGTGTTCATCAAGTACCTCCCAGAATGGTCTGCGTGGGTCATCCTGGGTGCCATCTCTGTGTACGGTAGGTAGGTGGCTAGCCTGGCGGGGTGGTGGGGGTGACGTCCAGGGCTAGGTTGTCCTCACTGCTGCTAAAGGAGGGCGGATGCTGAAAAGTTCACCCCCTTCCTCCCAAGGCCTGCGTTGCATCTCTTCTGAGAGAATCGCCTTTGTGAAGCATAGGGGGTCTGTAGACTTGCCGTGTTCTAGAAATAAAACTCGGTAGTCACTGACCTCCTTATTTTCTGTTATTACTGTTGAGCTGATAGAGCACATGCACTGTTTGGTGCTTAGTACACTTTGAGTAATCTGTTCCTCAGGACACTTTTAAGTCTTTCAGGCACGGTGCCTACCCATAAGCCCGAAAGCTAGCTGGTGTTTCGTTAATATCGGCATGATTATCATTGTCGGGATTGTTACTTCCATTTTAAGGATAAGGAATCTGAGGCTCAGGGAAGTGGGACACCCAGCCCATCGTCTGGTCTCAGGCACACAGCTCTTCCTTGCTTGCAGTGGCCATCTGAGGCCCTGCTCGAGGCTCTAGCCTCCACAGTGTGGAGCTCCACAGTGTGACTGGGGACCAGAGGGTTTGAGATGCCAGCCAGTGTCAAGTCGTGCTCTGAGAGCCCCATGCTGGGGCTCCTGGTGCTGGAGAACTAGCTCCTCATTTGGGGGCTGCTGGGTACGCATGTCTTTTTTAACATGACGAAAATGTCTCTGTTTTCTCAGACCTTGTTGCCGTGCTATGTCCCAAAGGGCCACTGAGAATGCTGGTGGAAACTGCTCAGGAGAGAAACGAGCCCATATTCCCTGCTCTGATATATTCATGTGAGTGGGCCCATGTGCCTCTGCCAGATCGTGGGGTCAGCAGGCAGCCTAAGGTTGGGGGTAAGGGGCTGCTTCCCAGCCACGGCTTTCAGATTTGACTAGGAGAGATCTTTCCCTGAGCAATGGGGAGGAGCCGGCCTTGGTTACCCAAGGTGGGCTGTATCCCACACAGGAGAAAGCTTAAAAAGTTAGAGCAGGAAGTGGGTGTCTGTGGGCATAGTGCAGTCCCTGGTTCATCCCGTCCTCCCTCCAGTGGTTTGCAGGGTACAGGCCGCATCCCGTGAGTCCGTCCACAGCCTTTGGAGCCCTGCAGCCACCCATCGGCTAGAGTGCCTGAGAAGGGACTTTGAAGAGGGGACTCTTCAGGGGCCTGGAGAGCAGTACTCCTGGGCTTCTGAGGCAGTAGCATGACTGATCAAAGTTAATTGTATCAGAAGGGAAGGCACACGGGTTTACCTTGTCCTCAGGGTCAGTGTATAGGGATCTGGATTTGTATATGTTCTCAACAAATGTACATCAAGTCTCCATATCCTGCCAGGTGCTGTACTTGGCAATGGGGGTCCAGCAGCACATGGTCCCGGGCCTCTAAGAGCTTGCAGCCATGTGGCTGTGAGACCCTCCTGTCTGTTGATGGTGGGGCTTATTTAGAGAGCCTGAATTTCTGGGGCCCTGGCATCTGCAGGGTGGCCTGAGAGACAGTTCATGGAATGGCTATGGAGTGCTGGATGATCTCTATACAAGTGAAGAATCAGGCTTGTAGAGGAGAATCACCAGCATCCTGACTCCACGGCATAAAAGCACATTCCAGGCATGTTCTGAAGATGAGCCAAGGTCACATATGGGAAGACTCACAGTGCCAGGACTGCTGAGATTGCCTGAGGCTCTGGGGTTCATCCATGAACAGATAAGCTTATGTTCTAGGAGGGGAGAAAAAGAGTAATGAAATAGACAAATACACAAGTCAATGTAGCAAGTGCTCTGTACTCATGGATCAAGGACTTCAAGGTAGTAAGGAATGCTATTTGCATAAGGTGGTCAGGGAAGCCCTCTGTCATAAGGTGGCATTTGAACCAATACCTGATGTAGGGAACGGAGAGCATCACATGAAAATCTGGGGCCAGCCGGGCTCGGTGGCTCAGCCTGTAATCCCGTGCCTTTGGGAGGCTGAGGTGAGTGGATTACCTGAGCCCGCGGGTTCAAGACCCGACTGGGCAGCGAGACCTCATCTCTACAAAAAATCAGCTGGGCATAGTAGCGCATGTCTGTAATTCCGGCTACTTGGAAGGCTGAGGCGGAAGGATCGCCAGAGCCCAGCAGGTCAAGGCTGCGGTGGCTGGGAGCGGCCACTGCACTCCATTCTGGGTGACAGAGTGAGACACCAACTCAAAAAAAAAAAAAAGAAAATCTGGGGCCAGCTTTCCAGGCAGAAAAGACAGCAGCAAGTGCAAAGGCCTGAGGGGCATGGGTCTGGTGTGCTCAGGGAGCACCCGAGGGTCAGTGTGTCGAGCAGAGGGAGCAAAGGGAACAGGAGAGAAGGGGAAGACCCAGATCGCGTTAGGACCTGCAGGCCATGGCAAGGACTTGGGCTCTTCTGAGTGAGACATGAAGCCACTAGAAGGTTTGGGGCCAACCTGACTTTACATTTTCACAGGATCACACAGGTTTTTGAGTGGAGAACAAAATATATGGGAGACAAGAGCAGAAACAGGAGCCAGATTGAGTAGCAAGGATGGGGGTTTGGACCCAAGAGTAGCAGCAGACGGGCTTAGTGAGAGATAGTTGGATTCTGGATTTTGGAAGCAAAATTGGCAAGATTTGTTGATGGCTAGGGGCGTGGGTTATGAGACAGTCAAAGATGATGTCAGTGGGCCTGAGCAACAAAAAGAATGGAGTTACCATTTACTAAGAGGGGCAGAGAATGTGTTTGGGGCATCCTGAGTTTGAGACCCTCACTGGAGTTCAGATGGAGAATTGGAGATATGAGTTCAGGAGACAGTGTCCAGGCTAGAGAGAAAAAACACATTCACTTAGTGCCACATAACCCAGCAGTCTAGGTGTATGCCAAAGAGAATTGAGAGTCAGAACTCAGACATTTGCACACCTGTGTTCACAGCAGCGTTCTTCGTGACAGCCAAGAGACAGAAGCCACACAAGTGTTCCTCAGTGGATGAATAAACAAAGGGCAGTACACAATACAACGCAGTATCATTCAGTCTGATGCTACAACATGCATGAACCTTGAGGACGTTATGCTAAGGGCATTAAGCCAGACTCAACAGATAAATACTGTGATTTCAGTTATATGAGATACCTAGAGTCATCGAATCCACAGAGACAAACAGTAGAATGGTGGCTACCAGGACCTGGAGGAAAGGAAAACGGGGGAGTTGTTCAGTGGTGATAGTGTCTCGATTTTGCAAGATGGAAAAGTTCTGAGATCTGTTTCTCAACAATGTGACTATACTTAGCACTACCAAACTGCCCAACTTGGTACACTTAAAAATGGTTAAGATGATACATTTTAGGTTACGTGTTTCTTCCCACAATTATTAAAACAACATGATCTGTTCTCCAAACTGTTCACTGACATTATTAGTATTGTTTTCACTGTGGTAGTTATTTGTAGTTATTTGTGAGAAAAGACAGTAAAAGGCATTGTCTGCCCAGACCTGGCCAGTGAACCTGGATCCCTCACCCAACAGCCTCCTAACAATGGAGCATCAACGGATACCTGCAGGATGGCAGGACGGAGGGCCCTGTGCAGGCTTTCTGGACACAGACTGGCCACCTCCCCTGGCCCTATTAACACTGCCTGAAGCATGACACTTTTCTCCTTCCCCAGCTGCCATGGTGTGGACAGTGGGCATGGCAAAGCTGGACCCTTCCTCTCAGGGAGCCCTCCAGCTCCCCTATGACCCAGAGATGGGTGAGTATCCAGGGGGTTGACAGCCTCTCGTCACTGGAGGGCAGTTCTTCCTCTGCACCCAGCTCTGTCTCTTGGGAGGCACAAGTTCAGGAGGGGCAGAGGGGTGTCATCTGCAAGCCAGCCCTCTGCAACACACACATTTTGGAGACTGAATGAGCTGCTTTTGCTTCATTCTGCTGCGCGTGGCTGGTGGGTAGAGTGGGGAAGCCCTGAGGTCAGTCCGTGGTGCTCAGGTTCCTGTAGCTTTGTTCCCCAGAGACCATGAACCCTCTGACCAGCTTTTGTCTCTCTGCTTTGTCCCCTTCTCACTGCAATGATGATCATCTTCTTTTCCTGGACACCCAGAAGAAGACTCCTATGACAGTTTTGGGGAGCCCTCCTACCCTGAAGTCTTCGAGCCCCCCCTGACTGGCTACCCAGGAGAGGAGTTGGAGGAAGAGGAGGAAAGTAAGGTGCCCGTTCACGTGGTCTGCTTCATTCCAGGGTGGGGGTGGAGGGCAGAAGCTGCCTGCAGTCTGGCTGGAGGAGGGTGTGAGGGGAGAGGCCCCTCTTCACATCAGAGGCATCTTTGTGAAAGTCAAGGAGAAGCCTGCTGAGCTGGAGTCTGGTTACTGGGCCCTGGAAAACCTCTACATTTGGGCTAAACCATATGGTTATCCGATCTATATTGAGTACTGATTGTGTGCCAGCGCTATGCTGGGTGGGGCCTGGCCTCGGTGGAACCCACCAGTTGGTGGGGCCCAGGCACTAATCACACACGATCAGAGCTGGCAAGGGCTGTGGAGGGGGCCATGGGGTCCTGGGAAAGCATGGGATGGGGGACTCCTTGACCTGGTCAGCAGCGGTCAGAGAAAGTTACCGTGGTAGGTCCCTTCTGAGCTGCACTCTGAAGGTCGAGTCACAGCAGGAGGTGGTAGAAGAGACTGAAGCAGATGCCGTGCAGTTAAAGTAAGTTAGAGGAGTGAAGGCAGGACGCTGAGACCAGAAGTGTGAGAGAGTCTTAAAGACAGGCCTGGAGGCGTTCTGAGACAGGGTCATTTCCCCCTGGAGTTAAACAGTCATTCTGTCATACACGGTTGCAGCTCCTTACTATGTGCCAGGTGCACCTGGATGGGGAGGCAGGGGACACACTGCAGTGTGTCACAGCCTCGCCCTCAAGATGGGTCTCATTGGGGCAGCCGGGGTGAGCAGCCAGGCATGAAGTACTCCAGTGACACAGCAGGAACACGTTTGGGAAAGATCAGCTGAGATGGGTCTTGAAGGATGAGCAAGTGATTGCTCCACAGACAAAGAAAGGTGTTTACCCCAAGACCAACGGGTGCACTGCAGCTTAGGGCTGGTGCTGATGATCGAGAATTAGTGCAGCCCCCATAGGGGCAGCGGGCACGGTCCTCGAGGCTGGCCTTCCTTCAGACACCAGCCACACATTCTAGGGTCTACAGACCACTCGTACGTCTAACCAACTGGCTTCAAGCTTGGGGCTCTCATGAGCCCCTCAGGTTCAATAATTTGCTAAAATGACTCACAGATTTCAGGAAAGTGCAGTACTTACAACTACAGTTTTATTATAAGGGATTCAACTCAGAACCAGCCAAATGAAGAAACACACAGGGCGAGGTCTGGGAGGGTCCTGAACATACGTTTCCTGTGTCCTTTCCTGGTGGAACAGGCACATCACCCCCCTGCTGTAGTCCAGGAGGAAGAGAAACAAGGTAGTGGCAGTGGGCTAGGGGGACACAGCCTGCGTGGGGTGCCTGACAGGACTGGGCGAGGGACCAGTGTGGAGGAGATCACATGGAAGGTGGTGTCACTCACCAAGACTCAGGGAAGGGCACACCTGTGGGAAGGGTGAGGGTCTGCAGGATGTCCAGACAGACAGGCAGGTAGACCTGAGTGTGGGAGGAGCTCAGGGTTTGAGACTCAAGAGTTGGTGCCATCGGCATATACGTGATGTCAAAACAGTGAGCCCCAAGAAGCACAGCCAGAGAGGATACAGGGTCAGAACCTAGGGGTGGGGACATTTGCAGAGGAAGGGTAGGGTGCCAGGAGAAGATTTCGAGGAATAGCCAGAGGCGGACACATGCTAAAATACTTTAGGTGTCCCCTAGGGCCAGAAACGTTGTTGAGGGTACATAGGATCTGGTGCCTCTAGATTTCAAGAGTGATTGAGAGGTGAGTGCAGGGCTCTTTTGAGAGTCCTGATTGAGAGAAGAGCGATGAGGGAGGGGAAAGACAAGGGAGGGCTGTACAGTAGGATCAGGGTGGAACAGCAAGAGGGACCAGCCAGGATGGGCGAGACTGAACCATATTTGTTAGGCACCAAGAAAGGAGCCAGTGTAGAGGAAAAGGTTACAGTCAGAGAAGAGGTGGTGTCAGTGGAGAGGGTCTGGTAGGGGAAGGGTGGACGCCACGGTCCAGCACAAAGGCCCCATGCTACCAGGAGCAGAAGGAGGACACCTGCTTGGGGCCCAGAAGGAGGGGAGGGTGGGCCTCCTTGGTTTGAGTTTATCACACAACGATTTTTATTGTGAGCAGTGTTAGGGGCCTTTGTACTAAAGAAAGCAAACTTGATAGCATTTTAGAAACTCTAATGTACTTATGGTAACGGGAAAGCTAACTATCAATTAGGTTTACCTGTCTGTATGGAGATACAGTGTTCAGAGGACCTCTATCTAGGTGTCATAAGTGATCTTGAACATAGTGAAATTAAATTTTCTGAAGAAGACCTATAATTCAGACTTCACACAGCAGCCCCCCAGCCCCGGGCAGTACATTTTGATGTCTCCCTTTCTTAACTAAGTGCCCAACACTGGTTCTACCTGAGTATCAGAACTGCCAGCCTCTCTCTGCCCAGGTTGTAAGGTACCCAGTCCATGGTTTTCCCCCTTTTCCACTGGCAGCTGCTTTTTGGAAGCAGCTCATCCCTGTCCCCAACCCTTGTGGCTGCTTCTAGAGTCCATGTGGACTGGGCTGGGCAGGAACACTGCTCCTCTGGCCCCTCTTGGGTTGGGCAGAGCAGCTGAGCTCTCTTGGCTGGTGTCAACCTTTTCCCTTTCTCGGTAAGCTTCCTCAGTGATGGCTCTACTTTCTCTCCCACACACAGGAGGCGTGAAGCTTGGTCTCGGAGACTTCATCTTCTACAGTGTGCTGGTGGGCAAGGCGGCGGCCACTGGCAGTGGGGACTGGAACACCACGTTGGCCTGCTTTGTGGCCATTCTCATCGTGAGTAGGGGAGATGTTCCCCTACTGCCCCCTTCCTGAGCCAGGGTCCCCTGGAATCTTCATGTGGGGGCCTAGGATCCCCAGGGAATTTTTGTCTCTTCCTCTGAGAGGCAAGAACAACTAGGGGGACTGGAGAGGTCAGTGAGAGGGGTTCACAGGGGTTGCCACCCAGACGGGCTCCTTCCGGTTGAGAACAGCACAGGGGAGGGTGACCAAGGGCCCTGGCTCTGGCATTGCTGAGCCCGCAGCCTCCCAGGTGACAGTTTTGTACATTTGTCTCATGATAACCTGGAAGTTGCTATGATTGCCTCAGGTTCACAGAAGAGGAAATAGCTTAAGGGACTTGTCCGTATGGGGCACAAAGCTAGTGAGGACTGACTGGGATTAGAACTGCTTCTCTCACTCCAGAGCTATGAATTTTCTTCTCTTCCATGATATCAGGACACCAGGGGGTTCTGAATCTGGGGCTCTTGGGGGATTAAGGGGTAGCCCCAGTTCTGTGAACCCCAGCAGTGAAATTTGGAGACCCCCATAGTCATGTAACATAGCCATATACACATAATGCGGGAGACATCCTATAATGATTTCATCTCAGAGTTTTTCCTGTTAGATCAGGGGAAGTAGAGTCTCTGAGCAGTACTTACTCAGCGTCCTGCCCCTTGATGAAACCCCAGGGCATCATAGGCGTTAGTGCTTGAAGATTTTGTTTCTGCTCCCAGACTCACCCGAGCCCTGCTCTCCTCAAGAATAGGGCAGGCATTCTGGTTCTCTGTCCCCACCCTGGACCACTGCTTACATCAACCAGGTCAGGGCCAGATGGCCAGGTCATTGATGCTAGCCGCTGAGACCCCACTGGCATTCCAGTTGAGCCTGCCTAATTCTCATATAAAATCCTACCATCCTATGTGACCTCTGTAACCAGGAAAGGGAGGCAGTGCGGTCTGGTAGAACAGTACTGCCCCAGGAGTCAGGAGACCTGCCGTCTGGTTCACCTGTTAATGGGTGGTTCTGATGGGGGTAAGAACCGCCACAGCACCTTGAGAGCTGCCGCAGGATCAGGGAAGATAATGGGGTGTTCAGCGCTGTTGTCCAACTGATTCTTCAACACGCTTCTTAGCACAGGAAGGGGCTAGACTATCACTAACTGCTCCCCATCCACATCAGGGAGTCACCACCCTCATCCTCCCCTCTGTGTCCTGCAGGGTTTGTGTCTGACCCTCCTGCTGCTTGCTGTGTTCAAGAAAGCGCTGCCCGCCCTCCCCATCTCCATCACGTTCGGGCTTATCTTTTACTTCTCCACGGACAACCTGGTGCGGCCATTCATGGACACTCTGGCCTCTCATCAGCTCTACATCTGAGGGACTTGGGACATTGTGGGCTGGAAGCTGCAGGAAATTTTAACTGGATTCAGTTGTATAGTTTTACACTCTAGTGCCATATATTTTTAAGAGTTTTCTTTCCTTAAAAAAATATATATGTGTGTTTACTTCATGAAGAGGAAGCAGAACGAGCTTTTTGGTGCTAGCTGTTTTGTCACCAGACTTTGGCTCACCCCTCTATGAGTGCCTGACTTCACTGACAGGAAGCACATCAGGTTTATACGGATGCACTGAGAAGGTCAGGTAGTGTGGGAGGGGTGGGAAGAAGAATGTCTGGGATGTTGTCTCGAGGGCCGAGGTGCAGGACGACGGGCATCTGTTGGGGACCAGAAGAACGAGCTCAGGAACTGCGCCCAGCACCTGGTCACTGTGGCTGGAGAAGAAACTCCAGTGCCCTGTAGGGAACGTTCCCAGTGCTATGTCTGTGCGTTGTCGTTATTTTATTACCTTTAGAATCTGAGTCTTGTTCCTGTTTCAGCAGTCATACTGCTGGGAAGTGACCTAATGTTAATATTAATAAACAGATGAGTCCTGATGGAATGTTGTCTGTTTGTAAATGTGAGTGCCTCCCCCACCCCTGTGTCTCACAGCTGCCCCTGGGATAACCTGTGCTGTGGGAGAGAGATGAGTTGTCCTTTTGGGAGGAGGTCTCACCTCTCTGCATTCATTTCTTTAACTGGAACATTTCCTAAGCAGGAGAGCAGGGTGGCCTGATGTCTGCCAACCTGGGCTGTAAGACTGTGGGTACCTCCATTATACAGACATCTAAGATGGTTGCCATAATATCAAATGGTTCCTTCAGCAAGTGTCCACCCTCCACAGAAACTAGCATGCCAAGGAGGCCAGGTAAGCGCCTGTGCTCAGAAGCACTCCCCTTTCTTTGACTGTCGCCCTGGGCGCTGTGGTGGGGGAGTGGACAGGTTGACTTTGCCTTTTCCATGCATCAGTCACAGGTTGTGACTAGGTGGGTGGCCGGGCATGGTGGCTCACAACTGTAATCCCAGCACTTGGGAGGCTGAGGCGGGGAGGATTGCTTGAGCCCAGGAGTTTGAGACCAGCCTCGACAACATAGTGAGACTTCATCTCGACAAAAAATCGAAAAATTAGCCAAGTATAGAGGTGCATACCTGTAGTCCCAGCTACTCGGGAGGCAGAAGGATCACCTGAATCCAGGAGGTTGAGGCTGCGGTGAGCTGTGAGTGAGCCACTGCACTCCAGCCTGGGTGTCAGAGTGAGACTCTGACTCTTAGGGAAAAAGAAAGAAAGAAGCACTAGGCAGGAACTGGAGCCTGTTGAGGCCATGCAGAACAGGTGATGGACAACTGAGAAGTTGCAGGTGTGTTCCTGCAGTTCAGACTGGTAGCCCCATCTCCTCATTCCAGAAATAACATGAGTGCTGTGACACTGGCTGTTGATTATGAGAGGAGTAAAAAGGCTATGTGTTTTACTGTTTGACGGGAGCATGTTTTTCCCCGGTCTGTTTATAGAAGAGCAGAGGAAGACGTGGTGCACCGTGAAGGGAGAATGGAATGGAAGAGGCTGAATGCTGTCTAGAGTAGGGCAGCCTGTCCCTGTGCTGGTTGTTATCCAGCTGATGACTAGTGCAAGTCAGAGATGCAGGAGTGGTGGCATCACAGTCGTGAAAGCCACAGCAAGAAGCAGATAGAGAAGACCAGGATGGTTCCTGATGGTGAAAGCTCCCAAGAGGTTAAGGGTGAAGAAAAACTGAAAGCCCGTTAACTTTGGCAATTATGGCAATGTGTATCTTCGAAAGAGCAGATTTAGGGTGGGGTTTCCAAAGATGAGAATGGGTGAATGTTTTGATTGAGTTTAAAGAGATCTTTGTCAAAGGCGAGGCCCCTGGGGTGTTGGGTGGAGGCCACATTCAGATATAAACAGAAGGAGTGAGGGGCTATCTAAGTAGGAAAGGCAGCAAGGGAGGGAGAAATGAAAGGGCCCTATGATTAAATGTTAGGATTAAGTACTAAAACTGGGGAAACAAGGACATGTGAGAAGACATAGGGGAGAAAACAGATACTTGCAATTCTGCCTTGAGGGCCTGGAGGAGCTGGGAGGCTAGGGAACCCAGAACACAGTAGGAAAGGTGAGAAGATTTTTAAAAAGATGTAAATCAGACACGCCAAAAAAGAACAGAGACCTGGTGTGCGAACACCTGTATCTCCTCCATGTAACCAACTAGTTAATCTTGCTATTTTTCCATACTTGCTTCAGATTTGTCTTTAGAACAAAACCAAATTCTGAAGTCCTGTTTGCCTGATACCCAACCCCATTGCCTTTGTCTTCCGTCCTGAAGTTGATTTGTGTCTTCCCTGTTCATGGTTAGTTTTGTTTTGCTTGTTGGCATATTTTTGTACGTTTACAGAAATGGTATCCTACGGCATATATTTGATAATTTTTAAAAATACTACATTCTGGAGACATGTGTATAAATGTAGCTCTGGCTCAGTTATTTTAACTATTGTGTGATATTCATTGTGTGATATTCCACTGTTGATCCGTGCGCTATTGATGGACATTCAGGGTTTTGACGGTGTTTCTGTATTACAGCTATGCTACAATGAGCATCCGGTAACATTGTGTGGATTTGGGGAGTTTGGGATGTCCCCTAACTGACTGGACATTCCCGTTTGCTCCCTGTGTACTTGCGTCTGTTTATATTTCCATCAACAGTCTGAGAGTTTCCCATATCCCCAACTTTACAATACTTGGTATGGTCCGATTTTTCATTTCGGATGACTACTATCTCCTTTAGATTTTAGTTTGCAGTTAGGTTAAACATCTTCTCATATGTGTATTAACTGTGCCAGTTTCTTCTGTTATTTATTCATATGCTCTGCCCATTTCTCATTTGGATTGTCTGGGTTTTTTTTATAGATGGAGTCTCACTCTGTTGCCCAGGCTAGAGTGCAGTGCCACAACCATAGCTCACTGCAGCCTCCAACTGCCCAACTTTGTCTTTTACTTATGAATACTTAAGCCTCTTACATTCTGGGCCAGGTATGGAGCTCATGTCTGTAATCCTAGCACTTAGGGAGGCCAGGAAGGGAAGATTGCTTGAGCCTAGGAGTTGGAGACCAGCCTGGGCAACAGAGCGAGACCCCATTTCTATTAAAAATTAGCTCAACTGGGCTTGGTGGCTCAGCCTGTAATCCCGCGCCTTTGGGAGGCTGAGGTGAGTG